CTCTCCTTCAATAGGGCAATCTGGGAGCTGGCGATCATGTCTCATTTTGGCGTCGAGAGATGAGAGTGTTTGTTGGTGTGAGCTTTGATTTTAGTATAGCATGTTGATGCTTTTTGGTATTTGTAGGGCATTCATGGAGGGGACATGTGGACAGAGTACATAAATCGAGTGGTTGAACTATTCTTTGAGGCTGTGCTGTCATTGACAGTGCTCTAGAGTATTGCCCGAGCCTGCGCGAACATCATGTTGGAAGGATTTGGAAGGTCAGTTGAGTCCGTTGAAGCTGTTGCCGCGCAGAACAATCAGGTCCCCGGAGTCCCTGCTCGGCTCCAGGTCGGTGCCCATTGGCGCTTGCAGCGTGGGAAGGCCACTGCGAGGTGGTGAAGCTCCTCGTCGACGCCCAGGCGGAAGCGAATGACCAAGACAAGGATGGTTGGGACCTCAGTCAGTCTCCAGTGCAAATTTCATGTGCATGGTCACACTGTGATGAAGTGGGCTGTGTCTTCCACAAGTGAGCTGAAGCCGACGGTGGGTAGTATGTTTCTTTAGTCTTATGTGGGTCGTTAACATTTTCAAGGGAAAGGATACAACAGTTCCCTGCACAACCATGAAGCGGTTTCGACTTGCAATGCAGGCACAAGTCTAGTCCAATTTGCAGTGGCTGTGGCTTGTAGCGGGGGTTGTGTTTCTTGCTCTTTGCTTTTCTGGTTTCTCACGCCCGTCAGCCAGCCTGGTTCTGAGGTGACACTGCATTGCACCTGGCAGCCATGAGTGGCCACAACGATGTTGTGAAGCTCCTCGTCGACCGCAAGGCGTTCCTGAGTGTGAAGAATGAAGAGGGCAGGGAGCCTCAGAGTGGAGGTCTGTGGGGGGAGGCTGGGACACCAAACTGGGACATCTCTGCGAAGACCTGGGCTCTATCCACATGAATTGTGACCTCCGTTTGCTTGGACTTGCTCAATCAGGCAAACAGGCTGTTGTGCCCAAAACCATCGTCAAGGTCTTTTGTTCGACCTGTTCAATCTCGTGGTGCAGCTTGATATATGTTTGCACGGTGTTAAGAGCGTTTGGTTCTTGAGGTTTCTTTTTAAACTCCTGTGATTGGTTTTCAGAGCTAGAGCCTTTCCAGCACGCGCCTGCTGGCCCTTCACCAGCAGGCTTTCATTTTGGTTTCCTTTCCTTTGAGACCCGACGTGCCTATAGGTGCACCCCGTAGCGAGTCTCGCGGCCTGAGAGGTCCCCGACCGCCCAGGAAGCACACCGCTGGACGTGGCCAAGGATCTCAATGACGACGTCCGGCGCATGCTGCAGCCCCCGTGCCTCGGTCGAAAACCACACGGGGGGCGGGTCGGACTCGGAAGAAGGACGGAGAAACCATGTTCTTCACCATGAAAGCATGTTTGGATGTTTGGAAAACGTGGCCCTTTGACATTTTTTTCTCATGTTTGTTTACTTTTTTTCTTCTTCTCTCTCTCTCTCTCCCAATGCCGTTAAGACTTTTGGTGCAAATCTTGCGGATCTTTTTCCCCAATGCCTTCCGAAGTGCTGAGGTGATGGAGGATTTCGCGGCCACTTGTTCTGAAGAGGATTGGAGTTGGAGGGGGCTGGTGATAGGCCTGGTGGCGCAATGCTTGTGAGCTTGTGTATTCACCAGTTCAAACAAGAACGTAATATTGTATGCAATTGCATGTGATATGCTCAGCGTCTGAGATACCAAAGCTTCCCAAATTGTTAGAATCAATCTATTCACCAGAATTGGATGGCGTTAAGCACCATGCTCAAAAAGGTTGGTACTCGTATGATTGTTTGATCGCATTTGGGATATGAGCATCACCAAGGATCAAGGCTAGGAAAAATGTGCCCACATTCCTTGTGGGAGGCCATCGCTTGTAGGTTGGAGGCCATTGCTATTAGTTTGGAGGCCATTGCTAATTATTAATTATTGGTTTGGAGGCCATCGCCTGTAGGTTGGAGGCCATTGCTAGTAGAGGTTGGAGGCCATCGCCAGTAGGTTGGAGGCCATCGCTAGTAGGTTGGAGGCCATTGCTTGTAGGTTGGAGGCCATCGTTATTAACGAGGTAAGCTATAGTATTTATATAGATCTTTGGCAAGGTGTGTTCTTGATTCTGCACGTCGGTCCGCCTGCATCCAGTGCATGGCATCAAATGAAAAAGAACCAGTGGTTTGGTGATGAGTCTTGCACAGAGTGCGACTGTCTTGCCAGGTCTAGATAAACCATGATAAACCATTCCTTCAGAACATTATATTGTAGTTCAGTATATAGGTGTAGCATGGTGTAGCTTGTGGCATGTCAATCGAATCGGTGAATTCTTTTTGCTTTACGTGCTAGTGAACCGCTCCGCGCGCGTGTGCGCCCCTCCGCCAGGCTTCACCGCGGCGAGCCCGAGCTCGTATCTGCCGTGGCGCCCACCCGTGGTGTCCGCGTGGGCGGTGAGTGCTGAGGTCCGGGGTGGGAAGAAGAAGCGTTCCGCGGACCCCATGAAGCGTGGATCTCGACTTCGCGTGGCGGATCGCGCACGGTGAGGGGTACGTCTTCCGCGTGGATGGAACGTCCATGGGGGTCCTCGTCCATGTCGCCGGTGTCGCCAGGGTCGTGTGGGTCTCGAAGGTGGATTTCTCGTGTCGTTCGGCATCCCAGCGACGCACGAGGGGATTCTCGGTCGGAAGGCGACGTGGGACAAGTTCCAAGTGGGTGGTTGTAGGTTTTGCAGCGAGCATGGGCCTGGTAGGTGTTCAGAAGTAGAGATTTCGGTGATTCCTCCGGATTTCTTTGGATTGAACACGATCAAACCAGTGTGCTACTGAGTAATGGGTGTTCTTCGGTGGCTGAAACTTGGCAGCCTCGGCATCCTTTTTGTTCCTTCCATGTAGAAACGGGATGAAATGGGGATTCGTGGGCCGTGGGCGGCGCACGGCAGGCTGTTCTTTGGCGAAGCGTAGGCTCAAAGCATTGCAAAGCAGCAAGATGTAGGAGAAAGCGAAGGCAGCATGCCCCCAAATCTTGCGAGTTCAGCAAAGCAGCTTGCGGTTGTGACTAGTTCCACTCCTGTGTTCCACCACTGTGACTCTGGCTTCTTTCTTGGCGCTAGCGGCGCGGCTCGGCCATGCAGCAGTGATGGCCAACAAGAGGAGGCCACGTGAACAACCCACCGCTGCCGTGGCTGGCGGACTTGGTGTGGGAGGGTTGCCAACCAGGTCTCCGAGTGGGATGGCGTTGCATACGGCGGGGGCCCCTGATGTATTCTACCAGTTTTCGAGGCTGCAGAATACATCAGCGCGGCTGCCGTTTTTAAAGACCCGACCAACCATGCCAACCAACCATGCCACTCTGCAGTTTTTTTCTCTTTCTTCCCCCATGCAGGTGCAACACAAACCTGTTTGCGGAGTGGCTGTATGGTGGACAGTTGGAACATCAAGAAGGGTTGTTCTATGGTCAGGTCTAGCTCTGGATTGGATGTTTGAGATGTCGGATGTATGCCAGGGTTCCACCAGAAAGTAGATGATGGCATCTCATTCCCACTTGAACATGCATACTGCAATTATTTCGACTAGATCTGAAGGCTTTCCTGTCATGAATTCAAGACACCCCGGAACTGTTGGAGGCATTGGACTCTCTTTTCTGTCACCTGTGGCTCAAGATGAGTTGCTCTGCAGACATGCCAGGTACCCTGGTTCAAGAACGCGTCGGATGACATCGTGAGGACACAGATCGAGGACACCGGTGGAGGCCCGCGACGTTTCGACCCTTTGACACACCATGCAGCGCACAGCATGTGCTGCGGAGTGGCGTTACGGACACATTTCTAGTGTGACTTGGACAGGTTATTGTAGACTTGATTCGCAAGCACCCCCTTTTTTGAATTGAAGCTCCTTTTCATATGGGGGGTTTGCCCAAAGAGTCTTGAAGATGGCTGTGTTGCTGAGAGTCTTTATTCGTGCAGGGCTGCCTTCTTAAGAACCTCACGGAGTGTCTGTCTGTGTCTCTGTTTGTCTGCCTGTCTGTTTGTGAGTTGATGGCAAGCACATCCAGTGAAGAAGAGACGCAGAGATGGATGCAACTGCAGACAAACCTTGTAAAGGCTCTTCACACAGGTGCGGTTCCAGATGTCTCTCACTGCGCCGGGTCCCCAGCGCCGTGGCCCCGCGCGAGGTCGAACCAGGCAAGCCAAGGCCATCGCCGCCGCTTGCTCGCGCCGTGATCTCTGGGCAGTAGTTTGGGTGCCTAGACTTAGAGTCTCAGCATGTACTTGCGATGTGGCGGCATCTCGCTGTGGCAGACCTCGTCGGATCGGCTGACTCCAGGACGGCGTGGGCACGGCGGGATTTGTGGCGCGAAAGGAAACGCGTGTTGCAAGGAAACAGTAAAGGATGGTTGGAGTGTGTGTCTCCGCCTGCTACTATAGGGCCCCTGGGACAACCGTTTTGGATTTGTCGTCTTTGGATGTCTCTGGTGCTTCTATTATATAAAGCCTTCCATTTAAGGTTGGCCGATTGCGGGAGATCGCATGACTTTCCCCTCTGCGACAGGAGTTTCTGGCTCAGAACTTCAACTTCTTTGCCAAAGCTCCTCCTGGAGACTTGAAGGCGCGCAGCCCAGCTTTGTGTGAAGGGTGTCCACTGTGTCCACTTCGCCAGCCCAACCTCAGAAAGAGGCTCCCAAAAGTCACCCGTGGTACAAAAGTCATCCATCAGCAACCCCCAAAAACCCCCAAAAATGCCGAACGTCCTTCCGTTACCGACCTCGGACCGCCTCGGACCGCACAGCGCTCCGAACGGAGCGCCCCTCCGCGGATCGACCCCGGCGGGGGAGACAGTGGAGGAGCGGTGAACGGTTCGATGCCGGGGATCGATCAACAAGCTCCATGCCCAGGTGGTGTCAGGACCCAAGTCGAGCAGGTGGGGGTTTCAGTCTCAAAGAAACAGCATCCTGGACCTGCAGTCGGGGTGGTGAATGGACACTCCTTGACCTCATGGACATCCCTTCCGTGGTGCTGGATCACCAGACATGGTGAGCGCAGGGTAACATCACCCAGACACGACCTGTTGGGGACTGCGATCAATTGACCACCCTAAGAATCCTTGGGCTGTCCATGGCAGGGGTCGGACCCTCCATGGCAGGGGTCCGGGGCCTCAAAACCCTATCTTAGGGCAGGACTTCAACCACCCCGGTCAATTGATCGGCAACTATGGCAGTCCCAAACCGGTCGTGTCTGGGTCAGCTCTTTTCCCCACAGTCCGTGAAGCCTGGAAAAAAGATCGACGAGCCCAAGGAATCAAGTTCTGACCGACAGTTCCGGGAAAAACCATGAATTCAACCCAAGAAACCGGAACGTGCCGAGACTGGAGTGAAAAGAAAGGAGAAAGGAAGAAATGCCGCGAGACCGGCCACGTCGACGTGCCGAGCCATTGGACCCGCTGAGCCGGGTCCCGCAGCGCAAAAGTCGATGCCAAGCCGGGCCGCCAGGACGGTCCCTAATGGCCGGCCAGGATGGTGTGGGACCGGTGGGACACCGCGCCACGTGGCGACCGAAGAAGCTGGATCCGACCGGTGAAGCGGGTACACCCGAGCCCGCTCCGTTGGGCCCAGGGCGCTCTGGCTCCTCGTGCCCGCGGTGCAGCTGCGGAGGCGCCGGGTGGCCGGGGGTGGAGAGAGCGATGGCCTCCGTGGTTGGAACATCGCATGGCGCTCCACCCTCTCTTCAGGAGTTCAGGGTTGGATTGAGTGATTCAAGATTGGGACTATCACTACTCCAAGTACTGGAGAATCCTGGCAACAAACAGAAGAGGGGACTTGCACATATCTTCGTGTTGTATCCAGAGGATTGATCGACTTCATGTATTCTATTGTATCCTATGCTACCCATCCCATTCAATCCCCCAATTCCTTTTTGGTCTACAGTGATGGCACTAAGAGTGAAGGACGAGTGAAAGGTCGTGGTGGAACATCGTCACCCCGAAACCAAACTTGAAGGCCGATGATGGCGGACTAAGAGGTGTCTTCAGCCTTGGCCTTCCTAGTATACAGGATATTGGAGTGGCAAAACAAGTTGGACGACCCCAAGTTGGTATTTGGCTTCCTCTTACAGGCCGAGTGGTGTGGTTGAAAGCCCAAAGGAGATAAGGACACTCAAGCAAGTTTGTTTGTTCCTGCTAGGAATCTTCACACTCCATTGAGAAGTAAAAACGGTGGAGTTGCATCAAGATGTAGTTGGAGCCCACTTCGTGGAATTGAGCTCAAGATGCTCTTGATGTTCCCACCCTGCCAGAGTTCACCTCATACTCAGACAGGAGTCACAATACGGGATGGTGTTCGTGGATGTTCCGAACACCCCGGAGATGCATCTCCAACCAACAGAGGTTCAGTGACCGGTTTCATAGGATCCGTCACCAGGGGTACCGAACTGGGATAGTCTATAGGGTTCTTCCACCTCTGTTGGAAGTTCATGGAAGTTCATGTGACTGCTGGTCTGACCAGCTGCTGTTTCCGATGAAACTCCTCCAGAACGGTCATGAAGCGGAACGGTCACTGCTGGTCCGGACTCGACGGCAACGGACCAGTCGAACGGGACCATAGGTCCCGGTCTCCTGTTTTGTGTTCGGGGCAAAGAGCTTGCGGGTTTGCATGTTCTTCTTCCTCCCGGGCTGCAAACCTGCTTCAACAAGTTTGTGAAATCTTTCTTGAACGCGCAGAAAAGTGTGGACCCGACCAATTCTATGAACGTTCGTAGTCAATCACTGACTGTCTGTGAAGATCATCCCAACCCGCGGATCCCAAGACTATTGCCTGCCTCGCGGAAAGCGAACCCAAAACCCGGGTCGACGATCACCGAGTGGACCCACTATTCACAACAGAATGGTCACGGTGGGCTGGTCACGGTCACAGTGAATCACCCCTTGGGTCTCCATGCAGCTTCTTCCTTTCCAAAGAGTATCTGCAGGCCGTTTTGCCCCTTTTGGACCCTCAGAAGCGAGCTCAGGGGACCGTGCCGCTCTCCGCGGCTTGACATGGTCAGCGCAATGCGAGGTGGGGGGACCGACGGATGCGGAAAACCGCATGGCGCGGGGCCTGGTATGGGTGCCTCATGGTGTTGATCGTGGTGCCTCGATTTTCAGGCGGATCCAACATCTTGAGAGAAAAGAATCAGGCACCCAATAGCCATGGCCTCCAACGTAATAACGATGGCGACCACAACCTTTAATGGTGATGGCCTCCAATCATGCGTGACATTTCATGCCAACGCCACTACAGTTGGTTAGCAAGTCTTGTCGCATGTGGTCTTTGGCTCCCGCAGCTCCTTGTCAGCTCCATCTTCTGCCGACGCCTTGGCCTTTGGTCACATGATGACGGCCCGGCGAGTGTGTTTAGTGGCCTTGGCCCTCGGAGGAATCAGGGCGGAGACGGAGAACGCGAGCTGTGAGCCCTTGGCGTTGCTTCAACATCAAGCCAATCACGTCCCTTGGCTGGTTCTGTATGATTTTCTGTAGAAAATTTATCTCACAGTCTGTAGAGTTCCCGTTGCAAATCGACCACTCCAGATCGACCTCTTCCGTTCGGTCCGCTTTTGGCGCTTTGGAGGACCAGAACCACCCCTGTGCAGAGGGAGTGCATCTCTGCCGTCTTCGCGAGGCGGTCCAAAGGGCACCGGATGGGACCCAGATCGACCAAAAATGGGAGGCGACACGCTGGGAGTGGGACCCAGCCCTGGGGCAGAAGAAAGTGGGCAGCCCACATGCAATCCAAAATCGTCGAATCATTGCCATGGTCGAAGCGATCCGGTCCTACGGGACGGCACTCTCGTCCCAGTTGGCCAAGAAGGAACGTGAAGTGGAGACTTGGTGTATGAAGCGCGCGCGCAAGCTCTGGTACTTGGTAGAGATTTGTTTTGCACATGTCAATGTCGCAATCTGCTCCGTGTCAGGAAGAGATGCAAAAGCTGAAGAATCTCCCAAATCCTTGGATCAGCTTCTTCTTGGAGATGGGTTTGGGCGCACTCTTTGGTCCGGTGTCCGGGGCCTTGAGCAGAATCCCCCTGATCGAGAACTTGAATCCGGGGACGGCGCAGGACATGATGAAGTATGATCAGCTCCACGGAGAAGACGGCCACAAAGGGGGTCATGTATTTTGGAAATCAGCAATGCCGTTTTGGTGTAGATTTGCCCACTTCCCATGTTTTGATATTTTTGGACTTGAGTCTTTTGTTTTGGATGGGTCAGCTATGCTGTTGTATTTTGCAGGTCTTTACTCTGAATTTTGGGGCTGCCATGTTGGAAGGTCTCTGCGTGTGTAAGTTTCAAGCTTACTCAATCTCACGAGCGCCACTGAGGGACAACGTGAATGATATGCTAGTGACGTTCCACAAGAGTTCAGCAAAAGACTTCTTGAACAGCATGGGACAGGAGTTTAGGCACGCGTGCCGTGGGAAAAGACACATATTCATGTTCACTTCCTGAAAGATTGTGAAGACTGCCAGGCACTGGCAGCACCAACAGTAAGGCCATAAGGCTTGCATGTGTTGGTACTCAATTCGCTCCAGCGTTGAAGAAGCCCGTTGAACAAACGTTTAGAGGTTGTCTTCTTTTCAGCGATTGATCTTTTCCCGAATGCGTAGCGAAGGGTTCTCGTTTAACTCTGGGGGTTCTGGGGGTAGAGCCTTGTTCGCGACTTGTTGTCGTAGCGACTGCAACAGTCCGCAACCGTTCGCAACCGTCCGCAACCGTTCGCAACCGTCCGCAGTAGGGCGCTATGGCGCTCACATTGGGCGAAGCTTTTGGAGCGGGTTTTGGATGGAAGCATGACGTGTCAGATTCGTGTGAAATAATAGCGAGGAAACGTGTTCGTGGCAGGCGCAGTACTTTGTGCGTGTTGGAGGTGTGGACGCGCAATTTTTCGTAGCAGGCGCAGGGAACCGTGAGGTTGCGAGAGGTGAATGTCGCTGTGACTTTGGGATTGGCGTGTGGGCAGGTGTTGCTTGTGGGGGCTGGAGTCGCAAAACTGTGCTTGATGTGTGTGCTTCGATGGCGCTTTCCGCTTAGCTTTTGGAGGATGCTGGCTTTGGAGTCTTTGACATGTGACTTTTGGAGGAGTTCTCGTACGAAGCCCTCGTTTTGACGCCTGAATTTTTGGAGGATGCCTCGTACGAAACGCCGTTTTGCAGACTTGAAGTGTGAGTTTTGGAGGAAGTCTCGTGCGAAGCGCTCGTTTTGGAGACTTGACGACAATGCTCGTTTTGCAGACTTGACCTGTGACTTTTGGAGCAAGTCTCGTAAGAAGCGCTAGGAGACTTTACTAGACTTGAGTAGTAGTGCCCCACAAGAGTGTCCAAAGAGTGTCCCACAAGAGTGTCCTACAGAGTCCTGCAAAAGTGTCCCACAAGAGTGCCCAACAAGAGTGTCCTACAAGAGTGTTTCGCAAGAGTGTCCCACAAGAATGCCACACAAGAGTGTCCCCAAAGAGTGTCTTACAATACAAGAGTGTTCCGCAAGAGTGTCCCACAAGAGTGTTCGACAAGAGTGCCCTGCAAGAGTGTCCCACAAGCGTGTTCCACAAGAGTGTCGGACAAGAGTGTCCCACAAGACTATTTCATAAGAGTGTCCGACAAGAGTGTCCCACAAAAGGGTCCTACAAGAGTGACCCACAAGAGTGTCCCATAAGAGTGTCCCACAAGATTGTCCTGCAAGAGTGTCCCACAAGAGAAGAGAGCCCCACAAGAGTGTCCGACCCTAGTGCCATACCAGAGTGTCCTACTAGAGTGTCACAAGAGTGTCCCACAAGAGTGTCATACAAGACTTTCCCGCAAGTGTCCGGCAAGAGTGTCCCACAAGAGTGTTCCCCAAGAGTGTTCCACAAGAATGTCCGACAAGAGTGTCCTACAAGAGTGCCGCGCAAGAGTGTCCCGCAAGAGTGTTCGACAAGAGTGCCCTACAAGAGTATCCCACAAGAGTGGCATACAAGAGTATCGCGCAAGAGTGTCCCACAAGAGTGGCCTACAAGAGTCCCACAAGAGTGTCCTGCAAGAGTGTCCCACAAGAGTGTTCCGCAAGAGCCCAAAGGAGTGCCCCACAAGAGTGTCCTACAAGAGTGTCCCGCAAGAATGTCCCACAAGAGTGTCCTACAAGAGTGTTCCGCAAGAGTGTCCCACAAGGGTTTCCGACAAGAATGCGTCCTAGAATAGTGTCCCGCAAGAGTTTACCAAAAGAGTGTCCTACAAGACTGTCTCGCAAGAGTGTGGTAGAAGAGTGTCCCACAAGAGTGTCCTGCAAGAGTGTCGAACAAGAGTGTCCTACAAGAGTGTCCCGCAAAAGTGTCCTACAAGAGCTCATACAAGAGTGTTGGGCAAGAGAGCCCCACAAGAGTGTTCCACAAGAGTGTCCGACCATAGTGCCATACAAGAGTGTGCTACTAGGGTGTCACAAGAGTGTCCCACAAGAGTGTTCCGCAAGAGTGTCCCACAAGAGTGTCATACAAGACTGTCCCGCAAGTGTCCTACAAGAGTGTCCCACAAGAGTGTTCCACGAGAATGTCCGACAAGAGTGTCCCTACAAGAGTGCCGCGCAAGAGTGTCCCACAAGAGTGTCCTACAAGAGTGTCCCACAAGAGTGGCATACAAGAGTGCCGCGCAAGAGAGTCCCACAAGAGTGTCCTACAAGAGTGTCCCACAACACTGTCCCGCAAGAGTGTCCCACAAGAGTGTTCCGCAAGAGTCCCAAAAGAGGCCCCACAAGAGTGTTCAACAAGAGTGTCCAACAAGAGTGTCCTACAAGAGTGTCCGACAAGTGACAAGAGCAAAAGTGTCTTACAAGAGTGTCCCCAACAGTGCACCGCAAGAGCTTGTAGCACTGTAGCACAAATGTAATCTGGGAAGGAACTCCTGGCAGCTAGGGCAGGCCGGTTGGTAGTACAAATGTAGTGTGGAAAGCGGTTTCTGGGAGGCGGCCTCAGAGCTCTCCCCTTGATGGTGTGTACTTTCTGAGCGTTGTGGCCCCAGAACTGGCCACTTAGTAGTACAAATGTAATGCTGCGAGCAACTTCTGGGAGCTGTAAAACTGGCAGCTTTGCAGCAGCTTCTGGGAGCTGCGACTTCAGAACTGTCAACTTATGTGGCCAAATTACAGCTGAATACGTGTGTGTCGTACAAGAGTGTCCCACAAGAGTGTCCTACAAGAGTGTCCTGCAAGAGTGTCGCAAAGAGTGACGAAAGTGTCGCGCGAGAGTGTCCCACAAGAGCGTTCTACAAGAGTGTCTCCTACAAGAGTGTCTCCTACAATGTTTGGGTGTTTGTTTTCGAGTACGTGCTTGCACTCGGGTTCGTGGGTTCCATTTTTTCAAACGGATTTCAAACATGGAGCTGGCATCAAGCAAGATGCGGCATTAGAATCATCAGTCATGGAGCTCAGCCTTTTGGAGGTAGGGTTTATTGTTGGTACAGGTGCAGGTGTTCCCCGTGTGCATGCAGTGTTATGAAGTCTTTTCTTTTGACAGGTGCATCGCATGCAGCTCCACCCAAACCCTGTCCCTTTTTTTGCGGGTGTCCGGTCTCCAGGCTCCTTGCAAGCAATCTCACTGCACATTTGTCGCATTTCACAGAGGAAGAACTCTATTCCTTGTACATCTCCTATGCTCCAGAGGCGAGAGGACATGTTTGTTGGTAACGGTTCTTGCTGGTGATCTGGGTGCAACTGCACCTGGGTTAATTTTCACACAAGTTCATGCGGTCATGACGTGTCAAAGGATGTGGCCTTTGCCTATATATTTCTGATGAGGAATTGCTTTTGCGCAGGTTTAGGCCATTTGCAACCAATTTGTGCAAGGCTGTTGCTGATGATTCGCGTGATATACCGTTTGTGTTTGTTAAACTTCGAAGGCTTGAGGCGGCTGTGTCCTGTATTAAGGAATTCATCCTTTGGTTTTGTAGAGGAAACCAGTCTGACTGAGGGTGCCATTCGACCTGGGTCCATGTGAGTTTTTTGAAGAGTGTACAGTTTTGCTGCGGGAGTCCAGGTGGCTTCTCAGGCGAAAATCAAAGAGATGGTGGATTCTGCCTTTGATGTCTGGGACACACAGGTCAACGGCTTGGGCTGGCACACCGAGACTGATGCGGAAAAGAGGCAGGAGTCAGAATGGAATTTGTACAACTACTGGGAAGGTATTGCCGAAGTCAAAATGGATATTGTACCTGACGGAGGGTGGCTGGAGGACCATCCAAAACACAGCGAGGATTGGAAAAAACTCCTGGTGAATCCTTATGCTCGGGTCCGCAATGAAGGCACTAAGAGGTTCAATTCGGGGAAGACTTACCCGCCTGAGTTCGTAGCCGCAGTGGATGAGTGGACATATCCCGGTTTGAAGGATGCAGAAGGAGTTCCGCGTCCCAAAGTTCCAAAGAGCTATCTGGGAACTTGGAGTGGACCTGTTTTCTCTCGCAAGAACTGCGATGGCCAGTGCTGCCAAACGGTGGACGTTTGCGATTGCCCGACGTGTAAGCAGAGGACTGAAGGGTTTGGTTTGCCGGTTTCAGATCTCAATGTTCGTTGGTTTTTCAATGTTTTGCACCTTTTCGGATGGGTTTGGGCTTTGCTGAACATTGAACACGGTGGATGATTCCAGTGGACTCTTGACAGAGTTTTGTTGATTTGATTGATTGGTTCCAAACGTTTCACCACCCGAGTAGCCTATCCGTGAGCTTCTCCGAGATCTTCAATCTCAACAAACAGGGCAACAAACCAGGTGAGGAGTGCAGCTCTGACGGCGATTGTATGACGAAGGCATGTGCTTGGAGTGGCAAGGGAGACTCGCTCAAGAAACGCTGCTGTGTGGACGAGGACTGCTAGGCTATTGTATATTGTATAGGCTTTTCTTCCACACTTAGTCAGTCGATGTTCTGTTTGCCCTCCTTGTGAAAGCTACCGAAAGCAACACGTTCAGACATGACTTGGAAAACCGTTTTTCGATCCCCCGAAGCCTCGACAAAATGCGCGTGCAAAACGCGCGTGGTGCGCGCGAAACATGATGCCTACAAATGGTACGGTGCATTTGGCACCTAAACTGTATTGTATTGATTATTTTCCACACGTCCCACAGAGTCCGTCGATGTTCTTTTGCAATCGTGCTTGTTTGAACGTCACCTGTCCCCCCGGTTTTTGGACGGATCCCGAGACGTGAAGATGACGGACATTCGCAGGACTCCTATGCGCATTATGGGTTTGAAGGCTTCTACTGCAAGGATCAACCAAATGGTTGGGCCTGTGACGAAGATGTGGTCTGCGCCGAAGGGCTTCGCTGTTTGACGTCCGGTTCAGGCCATTCCGTCTGCACGGAGCCAGGATCCAAATTGAAGGCAGGTGGTCTCTGTCATGATCAGGACTCTTTGTGCGAGACAGGGAAGTGTTCTAGGGTTGGCTCTCCCAATTGGGAATGGCAGTGCTGCGTCAGCGAGGACCGAGCCAGACTTCTGTTGATGTCCAGACTTGCCGCACTTTCAACCACCGGTTTCCGAACATGAGGTGCCAACACTTGGTTTTCAGCTGGTGTGATTTTGCTCGGGTTTTCTCACATAGAAAGAAAAACATCTGTTTTTTTGGAATGATTCCTGTGAGGACGATTATGCGTCTTTCGGCTTCAACCAATGGTGCGTGAACCAACAGGTTGGCTACCCTTGCGACGTCAAAGCTGTTTGCGCTAGAGGTCTGGAATGTAAGTATATTCCTCCGACCAAGGGTGGATATCATGGCATGAAGTACAGCTGTCAACTTCCATGATGTCAGCGTCGCGCGGTTGCACTAAGAAGCGCTTAGATGCTCAGCTGAAACGCTGAGCGGGCTAGTTTCGTCTGCGTGAGGTCGAGTCCATTTGTTGCGACTATAGCTAATGAATCACGCAGCTATATCAGCAAGTGTTAATTATGACGATCTTTTTGAATATAAGCATTAGGTGTTGTGTAGCTTGTCCATGCACATCGTTCTCCCAACATGCTGCTGATTTGTGGGATTCGCCTCGCGACTTACTTCTCGGCGATTTCGTTTCCTTTTGCCAGCCGAAGAGCTTTCAAAAGAGGTTTCCTAAGCGCGTTTGGGACCGACCTCGGTTTCGGCAACGCTTTGTTCACCGCTTTGTTGCGGACGACGAACGCGGCTTGGTCACCGCCGCGGTGGAGCGAACCGGTCGGTCTTTCTTCATTTGTTTCGGAAGGCATCGTAGAGTTGGAGCTGAAGCGTTTCTTCTTTTTCCCTGCAAGAATCTGATGAATCCAGATTTTGGGTGTAAGAGAAATGACACGGATATGGAGATTGTGACATGAACTCCAAGGATAGACCCACCCTCCCCGAATTTCGACGGGTTTCCCACGCAAAGTGCAAACTATTGTTGTTCATCTTCCCCTTTTTGCGACAGGGCAGCCTTGGTTTAGACCAGGCCAAGTTTGGGGAGTGGTATTTATATAATTTCATTGTTTGTGTTGCTTTGGTGGTTTTGAACCCAAGCTGTAAATCGCTCAACCCAATTGAATCCCTCGTTAGATCCTATGGGATCCCGGCGCTCTCTGTCTAGGCGGGCGTTCTCACTTCAGCAGATACGATGCTGGTCTACCTCAGGTGCGGAGTGCTGAGAGCTTGGGGCTGTGAGTCGGGGCATGGATTCTTCCTGGCCTGTCCAGTCCCAATTCCTGGTGTTTCGTCGAGCTGTATGACAGTGATTTGTATGAGGATAGCCGGACCGACGGCGGGTTCAACAGCCAGCTAACTTGGGCTACTTGCTTGGCCAAAGCGCCACTTGGGCTGCTAGGGTTTTACAACGCTTTGCCACATCTCCGTTCCCCCTTGCTTATCTTAGGATCTTCAGTCTGCCTGTTGAACAGCGCCTGTGATCTTCAGTGGTCCTACAACCTGTAAACAGCACATCCGCACCAGACGGGTTCGTGGCGACCTGCGCTCACCACCTTCCGACCTCTGACCGGTACACCCCACGGTGGTTATTTTCCGAAGCCTAGAGCTGTCGGGGGTCTCCGTCCTTATCTGTAGAGCTGTCGGTCAACCATGATCACTTTTTGAGGGACTTACCTTCCGCCTGGAACCCCCCACCATCCACTGGGCCGTACGTTTTTCTCGCAACCTAGTTCGACTCCTCTCGCAACCGGTACCCCAGGTTGCGGCGCGGGTCTTGTTTAAGGTCGCTCCCCCTCTGTGGTACCTTTCGTTCCTGGGCACCGGGGGGTGCCCCGGGAGGGGTCGTGTGAAGGAGTAGGACGAACGGCGAGGGGCTGTGTCAGTGAATGGGTGAGTTCCGTGCTGCGTGCTCCGAGTTCACTGGAATACTTGGTGAAGCAAGTGGAGTACTTGGTGAAACACTGAAACATGGAAGCAAGTACATTGAAACAAGGGCAAGTCACAAATGAAATACTTCAAAGCCCCCCCTGTTCTCCCGTCGACGCTCGGTGGTCTCGTGGGCCTACTTGGTGCGCTGCGTGCTGCCCTTCGCTCGGCCCCTAAAAACGACCCGACCAAGAGGGGGAACTCCAAAAACGAACTCATGTCCTGGGGGCCCTCGGCTCTTTTGGATCGTACGATTTGGGGTCGTGCGGTGGTAACGGGGTGTTTGGGGTCGTGCGAGGTTGGGTCCTCATGTCCTGCGAACTTCTTGGGGTCGCGATGTTGCCTTGGTTTGGAGAGATTGGCCGGCTTCGCCAACGCTCACCCGACGATGGTCCGATTTATATAATTGACTTAAAAGCCAGGGAGGGACAGGAGCAGGCAGGTGCAGATCGGTGGACTGGTAGCAGTCAGCTTGGGAAAGTGCGGCCACACATGTGAACCATCCCATCATTGGGTTCCAAACACGGTCGACCATAATGCGTTTTCTCCCACAGATCCGTGTTTGACCCACATGGCACATCATGACATATCCCATGGACGAAGTGGCTCATTCCGAACATGAAGAAGAGACGAAGAAGACAATGAGGTGGTCAACTAGAGGGTTTTGAGGTCACCCGAAAGAGCCTTCGTTTTTGGCATAATATGGCTGTGAGTCAAAACCTAAAGCTGGTAGGTTGACCTGTATTCTGTTGATTTTTGGTGGTCAACCAAGGTCTCTGGTTTTGACCCAGGTCCATATGAGAAGTAAAGCAAGTTGGACCACTTGTGCTGAATTCGCAGGTCCTTCCATGTCGTTCCGAAAGCTCCCAGCAACCGCCGCTGTCCTCGACAGGTGTCCGAACGGAACGGACCATGGTCACCAGTGCTGGTAGGAAGGCGAGGAAGCCGAGTTTCGGCAGTCTTGGTCAGAGCTGAACTGCAGTTGCCCAGCACATGTTGCCTGGTACTATATAAATCGTTGATTCACATTTTAGGTGAATCAGTGTGATTCAGTGAATTTGGGACCTTCATGTGGAGAAAGGACCCGCACGGATGGCTGCCATCGGTTGGCCTCCTTCGCTCGAGTGGGGTCAGGGGGTCAGATACCGTGGCGGGGGCACCGAAGGCGAACCACTCCCGGTTGGTTCAGTGACATCGATGCTTTGGGCGCCCGGTCTTCGCCCCCGTCGGCGCCGTAGGTCTATCTAAGAAACATAACAAACCCCTGTTCAACATTCTGAAACACACATAACAAACTGTTCTTGAATCTGTTCTGGTGAACAAACAGTTCAAACAATCCAAAACGAACATTCTGAATCTTCATTCTGATGTGTTCAACATAACAAACTCTTCAAGGTTGCCCTGTTCTTTTTGATTTCATGCCGATGTCGACACATCAGTCGGTGACCCTTTGCAGTTGATCATCGATTGGGGGCAAATCCGTTGGTGCTCCTTCTCTCCTTCAAAGGCTCGTGGCTGGGACTGCGCCGGCCTGTGCTTTGCGAGGTGGCCCCGGGGTGGGCTGGTCTAAAGGAGTCCACCGGTCGACTCAAGCCACTCTACTTTCAGCATCTATGGCTGTTTTTCGTAAGTGTATTGCTCCTAACCAGGTAGCTTGATCAAAGTGCCGATACCGACGGATTTCAATCTGCCATCCCGTTTTTATCCTGGCATGGTATGATCCTGAGATGGGAGGGCCTCCAGATGGGCATCATACTTACTGGATGTCCTTGGGCGTACCACGATTTTCCAGGTCCTAATCTTGAGAGAAAAAGCCACGATCACGATGTGTGAATCAATGACTAAGACGAATGCAGCCACGCATCCTTTCTTGCCCGTAGCTCCTGTCAGCTCCAATGTGCGACCGAAACACTCGTATGCTCTCGTCACATGCTGAGTGGTGCCTTGCGATTCTGTTTGGTGGCCCTGGCCTTCTTCTGCCGAATAAAGGCGGAGACGGAGAACGCGAGCTGTGAGCCCTTGGCGTTGCTTCAGCATCAAGCCAATCACGTCTCGTGGCCATAGATTCACATCAGGATTCGAACGTCCATCACAGTGTCCGTAGATATGTGACTGAATTCATGTAATTAAATTAGACAAAGTTCATGGATTTTCTGATAGATCAATGTCAACTTCACACCTCCAAATCGCCTGGCTGACCCACAAATTGGCACCCTCCCTTTGGCTGCTGAGGGGTCGCCCACCTCCGCGGGCGGCGCGCGGGATCCCCGCGCGTGTCCCGATGGGGAGCACCTCTGCGGGCTCCGCGCGGCGGTGGCCCAGCTCCCAAATGGGTCGCACATCGAGAAGAACTGGGAGGCCACGCGCTGGAGCCTGGACGAGGCCACCGGGAAGTTGGTGCCCTTGGACGAGAAGACGCTCCGGACGGTGCGCGTCGCGCTCATCGGTGATCTCATGAATGACTACCAGACCGCCCTGTCGGCAGTGTTGGCCTCGAAGGAACGTGAAGTGGAGACTTGGCACAACGATGGTATACTGGGTACGGAGGAATGAAGCGTTGGCAACGTTGGTAATTACTTGGCATGGTGAAATGTGTTTTGTTACGAGTTTTGTTGCTGGCAAAGTTTTTTTCGTCCCACGGACTGGCTTTCTTGGGACTGGTTCCCTCAAAAAATCACCAAGGAAGAGATGCAAAAGCTGAAGAATCTGCCAGATCCTTGGGTCAGCTTTTTCTTGGAGCTGGGCTTGGGCGCGCTCTTTGCTCCGGTGTCAGGTGCGTTGAAATCCTCCTCACTCATCGAGAATTTGAATCAGGCGGTGGCGCAGGACATGATGAAGTATGTCATCAGCGCCGCGGAGAAGACGACGACGAAGATCGGCATGTGTCTTGGATTGGTCAGCGACATGCCGTTTTCTTTTGCTGTATTTGCCTTCTTTTTTGAGACGACTATGCAGGTGTTAGCCTCTTCAGTCCCGATCGCCTCACTCAGGGACAACTTGAATGCTGCAATGAAGCTGAAGTTCCGCAGCAGTCCAGCCAAACAATTCTTGCACGACATGGCCGAAGAAAATAGGCACAGTCGCGCGGTGGGGAGAAACTTCTTGATGGTCCTTTCTCGATGGGACCGTAGGGCTCTTGCAGCACTGTGTTTGTACTTACCATTAAACTAGATAAGTCAGTTGCTTCTTGAGCCATGAGGATCGTAGTTTGTCATATGCCATAGACTACCTGTCACCTCATTTCACGTCATCGAACACGTCTACGTCGACCTCGTCAACGAAGTCGGGCCGACGATCGCACATCCGGCCGTCGGTCGACGCGCGACGCAGGAAACGATCGGTCAATATCCGCTCGCATTTGGGACACCTCACAGAGGATGAACGCTATTCCTTGTACGTCTCCTATTGTCCAGAGGCGAGAGGGGCATCCTCGTGAACGTAGAAGTGCGCCG